TCAACTCTGCTCACGCTCACTTACTCCATCTCACGCCTCCTACGTTCTCTCTCACGCTTCCTCTCTCACCGCTCACTCTTCTACGCTTCTCCCACGCTCACTCTCTCACGCTTCGCTTCTCTCACAGTGCGCTCTCTCACGCTCTCTCACGTTCTCCGCTCTCTCTCACGCTCTTCGCTCCTCACACGCTCTCAAACCTCTCCTCAACACGCTCTCAAACTCGCTCACACATCACCCGCTCTTCAAACTCACTCACACGCTCCTCAACTCACTCACACGCTCTCAAACTCACTCAACGCTCTCAAACGCATCACACGCTCTCAAACTCACTCACACGTTCTCAAGCAACTGCCACTCCACCGCATCTTCAATACTCACTCAGCTCTCAAACTCACTTCACACGCTCTCAAACCCCTCACACGCTCTCAAAACGCAACTCACCACCGCTCTCAAACGCACTCACGACGTCTCCAAACGCACTCCCCACGCTTCTCAAACCGCACTTCAACACCGCTCTCAACGCACTTCACACGCTCTCAAACGCACTCACGACTCTCAAACGCACTCACATCTCAAAGCTCTCACGCCACAGCAACTCCAGCTTCCTACGTCAAACTCAAACGCACCAGCCTCACAATCGCCTCCCGCTCAACGCAGAGTGAGCGTGAGAGAGTGAGCGTGAGAGAGTGAGCGTGTGTATTTATATGCTATTATTTTTAATATGTAACATCCCCAATACTACCATCTGGTAGAGAATGCCTCTTATTGTGACTTAGTCACTTCGATTTTATAAATTTTTCACAAACCTTTTCTGAATCTGGTACTTCATCCATTTTCCAACGACCTGTGTCATCTTTTGTCCAGTTGACAAGAACAGTTCTGATACCAGCAACATGACCATTTCCATCATCAATAAATTCCTAAAAAATAATTTTAATATATTAGCATTAATACATAATATTTTCTTTCATTCACCAAAACTTTTGAAATAATTATACCTTGCTCAATGTGCTGAATTGCCTCGGATCACGGCCAAACTTGAGTTCTACTTCTTCGTGACCATAGTCAACTTTGAAGACTCTTGGGAACTGAGGCCAAGGGTTATCTTTCGCTCGACGTGCAGGAGGCTCAGGAAGAATTTCAAATGTGGTGATGGATTTTGCTCCTTGACGGAGTGAAGTTGCAATGCAATCACAGCCTGTGTCCCCTCCTCCAATAATGATCACATCCTTATCTTTAGCCAACAGCCCTTGAAGCTCAATAGAGTTACCCATTTGTTTCTTTTGCCAACTTTCTAGAAAGGCCATTGCAAAATGAATGCCTTCCAACTGTCTTCCTGGAATAGGTAGATCCCTGGGCCAAGTGGCACCGGTACACAAAACTAAGCAATCAAACTCCTCATACAGATCCTAAACAGAACAAATAAATAACAGAAATTGAAATAGATCTTTCTTCACTTTAATGTTAAATGATGTCGAATATGGAAAAATGAATTGTGATTAATTGACAATACCTCTTACAATGCATATGTAAGCCTATCAATTACCAAAAGTGCTAAAACTAATAAACACGGTAAGGATTAGTATATTACAGTAACTAGTTTCATTTTGTTGTTATATCAAATCTGTATCATACAATATAAACCTCTGTCGAAAATAATTATAAAGGAACAAACTTCATTGTAATAAAAAAGCATAATATGCTCCTTTATTACTTTTTTGTGTAAAAAACAAAACAAAAAACAAATACATGATATACAAATACAAATGAAAATTCTTTTATAAAGATATTTTAATATTTTTGAACATCAAACATTGCTCTCTCTTAAAAATGGAAGTATTTTAAGTTAACATGTATCTACAGTGACAGATCAGGGACAGGGTGGGGTCACGCCTTCCAATCCAAAATTTTTTGTAATTGATTGGAAACAATTTTGATTACATCACGTTAGAAAGGAGTATTATTACCCTGAGTGGATGTCATTTCAAAAATGTGTTCCAAATTCTGCATAACTGATGGAAAGTTTCTCTATTCAGAGTAAGTGGTGCAGGTAGCATCGTCAAAACCATAAGCATAATAAAATGTATTTTGAATGATTTAAAATTTCTATGAGCATGAGAGAAAACACGCTTGCGATTACTTCTGTTTCACAAACATTAACTCATTCTTTATTCTAAATATGGAATTTCTGAGAAGCAGAGGGTATTTTTTGATAAATCTATCAAAGCAATATAATTATATTTAGAGTTCCAGAGAGCATGGCTCAAACTCCTTTAGCTTCTAAGAAGTAAGGTAAGGGAATGGAGGATGATTTAGTATTTTATTACTTGAAAATTGAAAGTGATTTACTCATCTTGACAGTGTATAGAATTGGTAAAATCATTAACAATTCTCCTAAGCTGTGGCCTCTCAAATTTTTGTTTTGTATTAGATTCTGCGTAGACTTTATAAGTTTCAAACTATGACCTCGTAGTTGCAAATTTTCAGAGCAACAAAAAATGATAGTGAGGCCAGAGTTGTAATGCCCATGTAAGATCATAAGTTTCATTCATATCACTACATTGTCTTCTGGCAACAAGCTTTGGAAGTCTCAACGTCCATTCATCATAGGCCACAGTTTTATGAACTACAGGAACTCACATGGATATCTCCATGTGTTTCAACAGATCTATATCTTTAACCAGGTAAGGGTTCCAAATTACAGTACCAAATTCAACTAACAGAAGTATGGAGGTTTTAGATAGAAAGATGAATGAGTGACAGTTGATAATGTAGATACTCTATGTTTCAGAATTCAAAGAGAGGGATGTATCCACTGAGAGGCACTGACCGTGAGTACCCGAGAACAAAGTTTAATTTTGCTCATCTTTATGCGAATAGGAATTTTGCTATGGACATGTTATTTCTTCAGAGTTTTGAGGAATATTATTGATTGTCCTTATGTTCATAAAAGTATCTTGCTGTTAGTACTTCATTGCATGCCATGTACTTCCAGTTTAACAGATCGTATGCACTGAAAAATCCTTACATAAATTCAGTGATTTGGCTTCAAAATGGAGGCAAATTTATATTTTTGGTCACTATTTTTATTTCGAAAACGGAAGTGACCTAGTTTTTCTACTGTCAACTAGAACAATTATCTGTCTCTAATTTTCAAATTGTTCTCAACCTCAATATGAAGGTGAATATCTCCATTCAGTTGGTTTTTTTCTAAATTTTAATGCATTTGTTCTCAATTTTAATGTGGTTGTTTTTTTCCTTAAATTTAGTTATATTCCACACAAAAAAATTTTAATGTTGTTTATGTTACTTATTTTTCTTAATGTTAACACGATGGTTGTTGACATACTAATTTGATTAGCATACAAAAAACTACCAACAGTAAGTAAATTATATATAAAAAATCACCTTGGCTGAAATATCCTTGCCAACATTAATGTTGGTTTTGAAGTCTATGCCTTCTTCTGCCATCAAGTTGACACGACGTTGAACAACTTCCTTTGAGAGTTTCATGGTCGGAATGCCATAACGCAATAATCCTCCTATTCTGTCATTTCGCTCAAATACTGTCACCAAATGTCCAGCCTATACAGAAGCACATTTTCACTTAAAAAGATTAAACACAAAATATTTTTCAATTTATTTTTTTGAGTTTATAATTATAATAAAATTTCAACACAATTTATAGTTTTAATTACGAGTATATCACTACAATTATTTAAGAATTTAGCACAGACTTTCCTTAACCATTTCTCAAAATAAACATCAAAATTCTATATTCTTCCCTATTCTGCAGGTGTAATTTTTCCTTTTCTAGATCTTAAATAATTGTTGAGAGCCTAACAATTCACCTTGTTCAGCTGATGAGCGCAAGCAAGTCCTGATGGACCAGAGCCCACCACTGCAATTTTTTTGCCACTTCTGTGTTTTGGTACATCAGGTTGGATCCAACCTTGTTCAAATGCATGATCTATAATGGCACATTCAATGTTTTTAATTGTAACAGGAGGTTCACTGATGCCCAACACACAGGCACCCTCACATGGGGCTGGGCAGACCCGGCCCGTAAATTCTGGAAGGAAAACACTTACATTAAAGATTTCAAAGGGAATTAATTTGGATACTGATTTCCCACACCAGAAACTTAACACAGCAGAACTCTGGTAAATTATATTCAATAACAATCCATTTGTATCGTATGTAACTTTCATTATGATTCACCACTTTTAAATTGGCAGGATTTAATCTCTCACCTGGGAAATTATTTGTCTGAAGAAGTTGATTTAAAGCTTCTTTCCAATTATTCTGGAAAATCAAATCATTCCATTTAGGAATAATGTTTCCTAAAGGACATCCATGAGAAGATTGGCAGAATGGCACACCACATTCCATACACCGTGCAGCCTGAACACGCAGACCCTTCCGCACGTGGCCAAAATTATAAATTTCATCCCAATCCTTAACACGCTTTTCAGTAGGTCTGTACATCCCAGTCTCTCGTTTATACTTAACAAATCCTCTGCAACATAAATAAAATGTGAATAAAAGATGAGTTAAAAAATGCTACAGCTAGTGTTATTTTCAAAAAGATCAAACCATTCACTAATTAAAATCTGCGATTTTCATTCCTGAGTACAGTATTTCTTTACCCGTTTACAGAGGAATTTCCCGGTCTAAAGTCACTTTCAGAATGGCGTATTAATTTCGTAAGAAAACTTTATTCGTCACATCTAATACAAAAATTCATAGACAAATTATTCCATCCTGTCCCAAACGAGCAATGAATAGACAATTTATCACTACCTGTCTGCTAACACCTAAAACAAATGACAAGCCAACAAATAGAAAGAAAATTCTCATAAAGGGTTATGGCTAATTAAGAGGTTAATATTGCTGTTTTGTACTCTATTTAAAGTGAAGTTTTATCACGATTATTACTAAGAGGGTTCAAGAGGGAAAAAGGAACTGAACAATATAAATACACAAGGTAAATTCACATATACCACACACATACAAATTCACATGAGCACATGTGAAAAATAATGAATTATTTTCAGCAGGCATGCAGATGTCCAACTAAGGAGCAAGCACACGTAAGCTTCCGCGGCTCGAATCCATAAATTCTCGGCTATCCGGGAGATGCCGCGTCGTTGGCTGGGAGGCTGATGTTTCGCCTGACATGTCGCAGGCTTCCTCAGGGCAGTGACAGCTTTCGGATTCACTGCCCTGAGAAAGCCTGCGACATGTCAGGTGAAACATCGGCCTCCCAGGCAACGACGCGGCGTCTCCCGAATAGCCGAGAATTTAAGCAGCAAGCAGTATGTTAGGCATTACTTGGTCATGTCAACATTAAGTCAACACAACAACTACAAGTCAACATTAGCCCAAATCCAATGTTTACTACAATACTAAAAATTATCACAGCATGGAACAATTTGTAAAATAAATTCCATACAAGAAAAGAAACTCTACACTTCAAATTTGTAAAATGGTTCGTTGAATAAAATGAAATATTTAAATTACGAGAAGAAATTCTAAATAACAAAATTTAAAAAAACTTATTGAAAATTAATGGAAATTGGTAATTAAGAGATTACCGATGGGAACAGAATAAATATGATTTCAAAAACACTTAATTATATTACAGAATAATGTGTATCACATTGGATATTCATAAAAATAAGTACACTTGCACACACATGGATGTGTGAATCCCGTTTTCCTTACACACATATAATTACAAATATTTTTAGGTAAAACATCACACAATGTGTTTGAGTAGTAAGCCATCAATATAACAGTCCTATCAAAACTTCACCTTGTTTTATCCAAAATTTTCTCTAATCGTTTCTTTTCCATTGATCCATCTGCCACTGTCTCTTCTATATCTCTAATTTTCTGCTCTGCCTTCATTTCTTCGCCGTTTACAGGTGTTCCTACTTTCTCCTGAGCAGCTTCCTCTGCCATCTGCCGAAGTGCTCGCTGATATTCAAATGGGAAAACCTGGAAAGTAAAAATTGTCTTGCTAAGAGAAAGGACGATTAAATAAAGAATTACAATCTTTAAACTACACTGATTTGTTGGGTAAAGTTCCAATTAACCAAAATATTCATCCAAAAGTAGGTTACAGTTGACAGTTATTCACTTGACCTGATGATGATGTACCAAGTTGAGGGACTTCAATTCATTTTCTGATTCTTTCTGGCAGAAATTAGATAGATTCACTGAACAGTTAAACAGGAACAATGTTTGATTATCGGGCAAATGATTAAATCATCGGCTCTTTCGCTTTGAAGCACGGGCAATAATCCCTTGTTACTCTGAAGTTCTTTTAACTTTTACTATTCATTTAGTTATATCACTTTGACTTTCCAAATTCTTCTGAGAATTTAACACTTTTCCCTTTGAATTTTCTTATACACAACATTTATTGATTATTTAAAAGTTAAAGTGACTATTCATTAATTAAACAAAGATAACATATAACTGCTTGTAGAAAAAATGCAAGTCAATAGAGATATTAGTAAGTTGGTTACAATTTAATGGAAGGCAACAATTATTCTGAACTGAAATGACCTCAAAAGCACAAGAAAGCAAATACGAAAATCCTAATCATTACCTTCACAAACTCCTTAGCAGGTTTTGGCCAAGTTTTTAAAAGTTCTTCAGCAATCAGAGACCCAGTTTTTTCTTGAAATTCTTTAAGAAGACTGGCCACGTATTTGAGATCTTCATCATTCTCTAGCGGCAGAAGTTCCACCATTTCCAGGTTGCATTTGCTGTACAATTAATATTGTAACTCTTAGCAACAGATTTACCAAAGCATTATTTAGCTAAAATATTTTTGAACAACAGTTTTGCATTATTACCTTTTAAAAGAACCATCAATATCCCACACATATGCAATTCCTCCAGACATACCAGCAGCAAAGTTACGACCAGTTAACCCCAAAATGACAACACAACCACCAGTCATGTATTCACAACCATGATCTCCCACACCCTATAACAAGAAAACAAAGATTTTAACACCGTTTTAGGAAATCAACAAAACACTATATAAACATACTCAACTGGCCAACTGGTTACCCATTTTCTTCAACATAGTATTTAAACCTTCCTTTTCTCCTTGGGTCAATTGAACAAAATAAAAATTTAATTTACCATAATTTCTTTATATCTAAATGTTAGTGCTTGGAATTTTGTTATTATTAGAAGTGTACAGTTCCTAATATCTGGAAACCGATTTTTAAAAAAATGGGGTTTTTTGGTTCTGAAAACAAAAATATTACACTTGTGTTCCTAGGGTCAATGAGATTTATGTTGTGTGTTATTGAATTTTCTGATTTTATTTCAGGAATGTTCTGTATGAAAACAAGTTTTTGTGTTAGAGAATATACTTTAAATATATGTGAACCATATCTCCACATTCTGGTGAACTATGTGTGAAGCTGATATAAATTTGAACTTCTTGTTGAGTTATTGTACGCAAAGTACAGTAACTAAATACAGTTTCTATAGATTAGTGCAAGTTTATAAGATTTGAAGGCGTAGGTATACACAGGAAATCCTACAGGTGGTAAACCTGAAAAAATTAGGGTATGTGTGTGGTAAAGGATTTGATAAAATGAGCCAAGAGATTACAATGTCACATGTGACAACTTTCACATCATAGAAGTTTACTGCAGCTCTTCTCAAACATAAAATTACAGTGTTTGTGACAATGAGGAGAAACAAAACCTAACTCTCTTTTCTACCAAGAAAAGAGGACATCCTCTATTCTGTTTTACAAAAAAAACACAAGATTAATAGCCTGTACCACAAAGAACAGAAACACTGGAGATAAGCACAACACACAATAGTAAAGATGTTAACAACAGAGAAAATAAAAAATGAAAGAAAATACTAAAATAAAATGCAAGAAAGGAGGCAGTTGACACAGAAAATGAAATTATTCTGAACATGCAAAAGGATAACCAATTGTTGACCAGTTATTCTGTTTTACAATCATCTTGAAATAGCATCATACAATGTTTTCTAGAAATTAATCCACACTGGAACAAAAATATTATCTACAAGAGGATAATACATCTTGAAGAATTGGGGAATAGTTATTTATGCACCAAGATCATTAAAAGGGATCTAATGATCTAGTGGCAGCAAAAAACCTGAGGGCTGCCCAAGATTATTAGAACCAATTAATGTCTGCATTGCATCAAAGATTTTATTTTTTACCTAATTAATGATTCAGATTTACTTGTTTACTGATGTTAAACTGTTCAAACTGACTCATTAACTAGATGTTAACTTGACTCAGTTTGTCTTTTCATATTTTTCTATTATGATTTTCTTCATAAGAGGATCCAGGCAAGTTACGTAGTCTATTGAGCACTGTATAGAAGGCAATAACAATCCGTAACATGTCAGTAAAAAACCTTTTTCTCCTTACATAAGAACTAGAATGCAACTGCCACGGAACGAATCAGGATTCCCGTTGTAAGAATGATACAAACTGCAGACCTTTGTACATCAAATTCTAGTGGTTTCAAACAAGCTTGCAAATGAGAAATGAAAATTTTGTTCATCTTAATTCGGCACTAAAACACCAATATGATGTTCAAATTCCAGCAAGCATGTTTGTAAGGGCCATGTCATTATATTATAGAGTCCAGAAAGTTTAAGGTAATGCCTATATTTTTATTTCTATTGATGCAATAACTTGTTTGTACACTGATAAGTGCAAGTCTTCAAAAATATTTTAAGAAATAATAAAATGTGTATAATTGATGCTCATTATCTTAAATAAAAAATAAAAAATTGTGAAGTAATTTTAAGAAGAACAGAAGGTTAAATGGATATACTCTACTTCAGATTTAACTAAGTGGAACGGTTACTATTTAGCTTACAATAAACAATTTAAAGTTTTGCTGTTTATTTATCTTCTCCAAATGTATTTAGAAATCTAAAACAGGCTGAAACCTTATTCAAAAAATTCTTTCATGACATGTTTCTCTATGCTTCCTTTATAAACAGAGCTCCAGAGGAGAAAAGAATATTTCTTTACTTCTTTCATCTCCACATAGGAGACTGGTCAAGACATTAAGCACTAAAAACAGCAGTGCAAAGGTGTCACCAAAATGCAAAGCAAAAGATACAAGAAATGAGAAATGTAGACTCCAAATAGTCAAGTTTGTATAGACCTCACACGGCAATGTAATTTTTTCAATAGCCTTGTTCACCAAATCTAATCACTATTTGTAAAATGCAGCAAATTTGACATTTTTTCCGTCTCACCCATTTTAATCTCTAATTTTGCTTTCTTTCAGAATTTATTAGTTGTCAGCCCCAAATATTAAAAATGTTCTATAGTAAAATACATTAATCTACAAATTATACCTCAACAACAGCTACTACTCCTGAGTTTCGCACTGAAAAACGTTCTGCAGCAATGCCTCTGAAGAAAGCTTTTCCACTGGTCGCACCATACAGGCAAACATTGCCTACTATAACATTGTTTTCAGATTTGAAGTCAGGGGAAGAATCCTTAGGTGGGTAGATGATGATCTCTCCACCAGATAAGCCCTGAAACAATGGTTCAATGATTTGCAATATTATAATATGAATAATAAAACAAATCATAATCACATTTTGAGAAAGTAATTGTTAAACTATTGCAACTCAAACAGATACAATCAATATTAAGATCACCATATGGAAATCAAAAGTTTTAGATATTGCTACAACAATGCTCCAGTAAATCAATTATACATTTTAATTATATAATAATTAGTTCAGTTAATAGCAATGGCCAAATATATTTGGATATATTTATTATGCACATTTATTTTGTTTGTGCAAGTTCTCTTGCAAGTCATAAATGCTTCACAGTTTCCTTGCATGAGCAGCAAACAAAATATGAAACACTGATTCACACACATACTGAAGTCAGATTCAGACTGTCAGATTCTACCAAAGCACAATATTGGTAAAGCAATGGTGATGACGAGGGCAGACATTTTAATGAACTGTAGCTTTGTTTTCTAGTTCAGTTTTTAAATTTTATTTTAGAAAAGAACGCAATAACCCAGTTATAAGTTTTATAATGGACAAAGTAAAAAGAGGAGAAATGAGTAAGTATATCTTTATAGGATTACAAAAGTTAAATATATTATGATAATCATACAAATTATTACTATCTACATATGAGCCATAAAGGTAAATGAAAGCAACAATTTATTGTAGCACTTTGGTACAAAGTAGGTTGTGGGATTAATATTTCTAATATGGTGCAATGGATCACTCCACGGAACAATGATAAAATAGTAAGTTTTTATTTATGTTATTATAATGGCAAAAAAATCTTTTCCTTTGATATTTTTAGCATTTTACATAGATTTAGACTAATAAGTATTTTTTATATTCTTCTTTCATTTCCAAAAAATTTTTGCCGATTTCATAGATTTTTTATTAACATTTCAATTGTTCAAACTTCAAATAATATTTACAAGATGCAACAAATGTTCTTGACAGAATCCAGAAAGAACAATTCAGTTTCTTTTCTCAGAAATGGTCATGTCAGTGGTGGAGAGTAAATAATACATTCCTAGGTTGTCAGTTAGTGTAATGTCAGTTCCTTCGATGATAATTAAAGATGGATTTCCTAGGAAAGTACAATCCCAACAAATACTTTGCCAGACACTCCTGAATAGAACCGAATCCCAGCACTTAGGAAGAATTATGTAGACTGCAAGCACAGCACACAATTTCAACATTAGCTTTCATAAAATATAAAGGAATTTCTTGTGACAAATGTAACAGAAATTATGTGGTACCTACCTTGCCAACATAATCATTTGCATCTCCTTCCAGTTTCACATGAACACCTTTCGTCATGAAAGCACAGAAACTTTGTCCCGCAGAGCCCTTCAAACTCACATTAACACTATGGTCAGGGAGCCCTTCATCACCATATTTCCTACAACAATTATTGTTAAAATTGGGCAAATAAATGATGAGTAGTTTTATTAAAATGTAACAGATTCACAAAGCTATGGTGAAAAGAATTTTTGATATCTCCAGAAGAGTAAGAATAATTCTAATAAACGCTTTCTTAAAGAAAGCACTTTTATCTTTATATGGCAAATGAGAAAGATTAATACATCAATAAATTCACTCCTGTCTTTATTATGCTTTGCTCTCATAATAAAAATAATGACAACAATACTCACATTGATATATGGTAACTTAATGTTGATGCAAATGCTCGATCTTCATTATTAATTAGCATTTCAATATCTACACTTGATTTTGAGCCAGCAATAACAGGAGCTGCTGCTTCAATCAATTTATTATCTAATCTCTTTTCTAGCTCAAAATTCTGGAAGAAAAAGCCTTTATTACCATTAGCAAATTTAAAACTACAGTAATGATCACGAAATAAATGAATACTGACCTGACTTTCTGATGAAGCAATGATATTTGTGCCAGGTCTCATGTGCAATGCATTTCTCAAAATGGGACTTAAATTCAGTGATTTTGCCTTGGGATTTCCTGAATCTCGAACCCGCAATAAATCAGTGCGACCAATGAGGTCCTGAAATTTTTTGATTCCAAGTTGTGCCATATGACTTCGAACCTAACGAGTCAAATTAAACAAATATGCATTAATTAATTTATTTATTTATTAATTAAGCAATGAAAAGATATTGTTTTATTTACATATTCTATAACATTACAAATATTTCTTATTGAAAGATGCATTATGATAAACAAATTCACATAATGACAAATTGGTTAAGACCACTAATCTCATTTGTGCAGACTTGCACAAATTAATATAAAGAATTTTAATATGAGGACTTACCTCCTCAGCTAACATGAACAAGTAATTTATAACATCTTCTGGTTTTCCAGCAAATTTTTTGCGCAGAACAGGATCTTGGGTCGCAATTCCTACTGGACAAGTGTTGAGATGACACTTTCGCATCATAGTACAACCCATAACAATCAAAGGAGCAGTACTAAATCCAAATTCATCAGCACCCAACAATGCTGCGACCACCACATCAAAACCTTGAAAAAGAAGGCCATTACTTAGAAACAAGAATATCATCTAATAAAACATGAAGCAACATTTCAATTTATATTTAGATGTCTCTCAATTTCAATTTGTCTATATTTTATTGATTTATTTATTTATTCCTACAATGAACAATCAGTTAAAAAAAAAAAAAAATGATGATTAAAAAATTAGAATACAACAATAAAATCAATAAAATTAAAGACTAAATTAAAGAATGTTATAAATTAAGAAAAATGGTAAATATCTGGTTTTAGAAATTGATAACATACTATGCCACATGCTCATAACTCCGAAGCTTTTGTCCATCATATCAAACCTAAATGAAATGCACAGCAGCATTTAGTACCATTTAATTACCCCCTCCCTTTTCAAATTATTACAATAGTCCCATTCTGATAAACAAGGAGGAAGATATTAATCCCATCATCACACATCAGTGAATCTTAATTATTGGTATTTGGTTATTTTATTTTCACAATTAACATATCACAATATTTGTGTAATATAACAACAGCAGCATTTACGTCTCGCATTATCTGCAATTGTTAAGTCATAAAACAATTCAACCTGCAAAAGTCATCCTATGCTGCAAACATTTTTTGCCCACACTGAGATTTGAAGTTAGCTACTTAGAATTCTGCTACACCAAATGTCTGAGTTGTAAACAATGTTCCTGATACTTCAAAAAGCAAGTTAAACATCTTCAATTTTCAAAAATTAGAAAGAAAGAAAAAAACAATAGATTTCTTTATAAAAACAATCTCCATTTTCAATATTAAGGTAGTAAGAAGATGCTGAAAAAATTTAATTTTTGCAATTTTTGAAAACTTAGATTGGATCTCTGCCTTTTTTAAAGCGTGCTTTGCTCTATTCCAGAAAATAAATTTAAAGCAATTTTTGAAAAGGTTGTCAAGGCTCCATGTAAAGTACCCCCCAAAAAATGAAAATATATTTCAAATTCAAGGAGCTACAATCAACTAAATCCATCAAGATATATTTTGGTGAACATTCGCATGAACAGATTAAATGCTAGTGTTGTTCAAAGATGCATGAATAGACTTAGGCATAATTTTTCAGTATCAAGGATCCACAAAATGTGGATTCCGACTGTACAGTGTATTACGGGAAGTACACTGTTTTGGTATCAGGAACATAAAATAAGTTGTTCTTATGAAAAATCACCACTTTTCACTGCTGCATTACAATACTTTTTCAATATATAGTATATTATGCAAGTAGTGTGCGAGAAAGTAAAATGTACGGGAAAGTTTATTGAAACTATGGAGAAAACCCCAGAGAAGAATCAGGAAATTTTGCTCTATTTTAACTACTTAATGAACATTCTGAAATATGACATACCACATTACTTTAAATTTCAAAATCCACCAAATGGAGGCCAAACATCGTTACCTCACTTTTCTGTGTGTAACACTAATACCCAATACAAACTTTGATATTTTAATGATACTAAAAAAGTCTATTTTGTTTTCCATTTCTCAATTATTAATACTGATTCAGGTTTTCAGCACATTTTTTGTGTAGTAGGGGATCATAGGCAAGTGTTAAAATCACTCTTTAATAAAAAGTTGCAAACATTGTGACACAAAGAGAGTTTCTCTGGACATGTTTTGCATACTGTAGTTAGGCATGGATTCCTAGTATCAGATTGGACTCTCTATACTGCAAGAAGCATTGCAAGCAAACAATGCAGAAAGACTGAATAGAATAACAAACACACTTGCCTCTATTGTGAAATTACCCAGAGAAGGACCATGAATCAATTTGCATTTGACTTGCTATTCCAAAAATTCTTACCCCACCCTAACTTAGCTCTGTGGATTCATATGAACAAGAGTGAAAATGACAATGTGAATGATTTCATAAAACAGATGGATCTTAATAGAGAGGAGTAAATTCTATAATTTAAAAAATAAGAATGGCTGTCAAAAAAATTAGATTTGTTTCGAAAAAAGTATAGAAAGTTAGTATACACACAGTAAAGCTTATGTAACAAAGAACCAAATTAAATAATTGTAAATAAAATAGGCAAGATTTAATTAGGTATTAACTCACAACTATGTTTTTGAATACATATTTAAATTTACTGCAATTAGATAACTAACATTTTGGTGCATTGTGTATTTAGGACTCTTCACAGATCAAAAAAATGAGAAATTAGATATATCATATGAATTAATTCATTTGATAATTAAAGAACAAACTTTAAGACCAGGTGACTATCTACATCTATTAGAAAATTATATATGAAAGAAAATAAGTAAGTGTGTTACTCAGTACATTTTAAAATTTAGTTGTCTGTTATAATATAACAATATTGATCATTTATCCAATATCTGTAATAATAATAATAATAATAATAATAATAATAATAATAATAATAATAATAGTAATAATAGTAATAATAGTAATAGTAATAATAGTAATAGTAATAATAATTTAATAATATTGGTCATCTGTCCAATATTATTACACAGACAAATTCAAATCTAAATCCAACAGATTAAAAAACTTTGGTATATTGCAATAAAATGGCAATGTTTGTAAATATAAAATTTTGGGTTTTTCTAGAAACATGCTGGCTTTAAATATAGTTAGGGAAGCAAGGATGTTATGCCTGTCATTAGAAAGAGTGTTCTAAGACTCAGTTCTAGTGACAAATATAGCTATTACAGTTAAAGTTTAGCAACTGGAATCTTCATGTCAAGCATAACAGAGGATGAGCAAATATGGCATCTGTTCACAGTAAGTAAATTATGGCTGCTATTACTGCCAAGTTAAGTTCACCAAGTCCAAGTTTTCCTTCTTTTAATTTAAAGAACCACATTCCACATTCATTTCCTTTAAATATTAATTATAAAACTAGCTACCTGACCATTCATGATGACTAGCTACATGACCAATCATTATAGTATTATTAACATTCATTCTTCATAATTTTGTAACAGAGTATCTCATCCAAATTAATATGCTTATATTGTTCGATTTCGTTAATAATTTGGTTTTGTGACTGGAAAACTAAATCAATAACTAAATAAAATAATGTAAGTGATATCATAAGATGTTGAATTTTTTCCTTTTGCCCATGACCTAAAAATATTTAAGATCATTAAATCTCTTCAAGATAAAATTTTGTTACAGGTGTTTTTGGCAAATGGTGCACAAATAACAATCTTCATTTAAACCTGTTAAATGTAAAACAATTACCTTCTCTAGAGCTAGAACCTTGATTGAAGGGGATTATTACATACTATGATTATTGAAAGAGTGTCAACTACACAGGATCTTGGCGTTGTTTTTGGCACCAAAATGACTTTAAAGATCATCTCCATGTTACAGTTAATAAGGCCATCAGTTGTTAGGCTTTATTAAGCATACATGCTATGATTTGTGCTCATTACAAATATTGAGATCACTTTATTTGCTTTTGTTTAGACTAGTACTTATGTACTCTTCTTTGTTTGGTCACCTTGTTTTTCAAACAGTATCTCTAGAGTTGAAACAGTCCAACGTAAGTATTTTAAACTTGCTGCATACCTTGCAGAGGTTCGTGATCATTTAAAACCCACAATTATAATATTATAGCTTCATGTTTGAACATAATCTCTAAGATTTCAAAGAAAATATGTTGATATGATGTTTTTGCGAAAACTTATAAGTGGTACTATTGATTGCTCACTTTTGCTGAATCTATTGTGTTTTAAAGTTCCCAACTTCAATACAGAAGACCACAAATATTTGCTCAGAAGTTTTATAAGCATTTCTACACAGTTAACAATCCTTTTCACAGAATGTGTATAGCTGCCAATACGTTTTTAGCCAATTTAGGGGAGGGGGGTTAAATGATGCAGGGTTCAGCAAAAGATGTGAAGAGTAAACTTTTTAAATTGGAATGACTTCTTAAATTAAGTAATTAAAGTTTTTATGATTCTCTTTATTGTGTCAATATACCTGTAATTTTCATTATAGTGCTTCATTCTTTTGTTTTCTTTATTTTCTATATTACCATCAAATGCGAGTTGGATTTGAAAATAGCATCATCTTTATGTTCCTATTCTTGTAATTTTTGTTGTTGTACTCTAGTCTGTGTGTTTGTTTTCTATAATCATAGATTATATATATATATATATATATATATATATATATATATATATATATATATATATATATATATATAAATTAAAATGTAATAATGTGAACTGAACTTTATTGTAGTTTGAGTTATTGAGTTGTAATTATTTACTTGTAAATTTTGAAATAATTGGGCAAATTGTACATTAAATTGAAAATAAATAAGTTAAATAAATAAATAAATAAATAAAATGCATGTAACATGCCCTTAAAATTCGCACCTTCATTCCAAGAGGTTTCTACAATTTGGGCAAGATGTTCAAGAGGTCATGATAAAATAAAATATTGACAAATTCTGAGATTATGAGAATAAAATCTACATTCAAATAAAAATATAACTTTTACATCTGATGTTTTGTCTGTTTAATTCTCTTCAGAAAGAAAGAACTCACCTGTTCTTATCTGCCCATCAGCCTGCACCACAACCCGAGACCTAAGATTATTCAGCACCAACACTTGATGAGTTTCTGCAACACCCAGCTCCCATGGGAGGCCCGCATTTTTAATGCCGGTCCAAGAACTAGCACCAGTGCCGCCATCATGTCCAGATATGACAATGTGCTCAGCTTTGCCCTACATTTACATTACATTCACATTGTATTAAGAGTGTATACTTTTACTGCAAGAATTCAAGTGTAATTGATATCATTACCTTCGCCACACCAGACGCAACAACTCCCACTCCCACCTCAGACACCAATTTTACAGAAATTCGAGCATTTGGATTGGCACATTTCAAATCGTAAATGAGTTCAGCTAAATCTTCTATCGAATAGATGTCATGATGAGGTGGAGGGGAGATAAGGCCAACTCCAGGAACAGAATGGCGAGTCTTAGCAATGTCCTTGGTAACCTGGGAAAACGATCAGCCATGAACAGAAGGTAATGGATCAGCCTCTACATGAAACTTATAGAACTGTTTGAAAATGTTCTAAATTTGAAAAAATAGTTGAACAACAACAAAGTTGAAGCTGGCATCAGTAGCCGAATTGCTTAACTATGCTCCGTGAAGTTGCAGAGGTTAAGCAACTTGAGACACCGTGAGCACCTGAATGAGTGACCATCCGGGAAGCCTGGGAATCTTAAGTGCACTGAGCCCCTGGCCAACGAGAGGAAAGGGAATGGCTAATTACAAATGATGATGACCTTAAAAGAGGATTACTCGTGGTTTGATGCCAGTAAATGGTTAAGAGAATGTCGTCACAAAAAAGTAACTGAATATCACTTCCATTTTGACTTACTTTATGCCCAGGCAATTCACCGCCTTCTCCTGGTTTAGCACCTTGAGCCATTTTAATTTGCAGATCATCAGCGTGAGCCAAGTAAGAGCTTGTGACACCAAAACGACCACTTGCAACTTGCTTTATTGCAGACCGCTGATTATGATCTGGATCTTGGTTTAGGTAACGATCAGCATTTTCACCTTAAAAGAATATACAATTCAATTGTCACTTCTCACTTAAGATCTCTTAAAACTATGTACCTTTATTTAAAAGCATTACACCTTACCTCCTTCACCAGTGTTTGACTTGCCACCTACTTTGTTCATTGCCATTGCCAATGTAGAATGTGCTTCAAGAGAGATACTGCCAAAACTCATAGCCCCTAAAAAATTATTTTACATATAATTACTCTTGTAGAAATTTTGCCTCAATTGCAGTTGTCATACAGCGGGGAGCAATGCTGCCTCCTTGTAAGAAGTGCAAGCACCTTAGTCCATGAACCTCCATTTGAATGTGGGTACAGTGAAGCAAAAATCAGAAAGAGATATAAAAAGCAAGCAACTTTTCAAAAGTCTGTCGTTTATCTGCTTTGAAAAGTATTTTCATAGTAAGTCCATTTTCCAACACACTCATTCGACTTTAAAGTTTGCCATTTTTAAATTTTCATTTTTTATTTCATACATGTACAGAAAGTGACTGTTTCAATTGTTATTGGGATATTATTCATGTCAGGATTGAAGGTTGATTAGAGTTTGAAGAAGTTTAAAACAATTTTTGAACCACTCTCAACATCGAAGGCCTAATTTTTTGAAGTTTTTTAGTGAAAAGTTCAAAACAATGTCATTTGAAACAACAGTGAAGACCAAAGAACCCAAAAGTGTATGTAAATTTGTAGACAATAAAAAGAAGTATGTAATAAAAAAAACTTCATTATATGTAGTTATTCATCAGGAAAATGTACATTAAAAATAATATTAATTTAAAATTTTCATGTAACTGATTACTTCTTGCTAATGATTAGAACCATCGATTTCAACAATTATTTTAATGTGATTATAAAAAACAAATATAAACGAGAGATGTCAATTTAAAAAAAAATAAACAGCTGTTCAAAGAATTATCTGTTGCTTTCACACTCAATGTTTGAGAATATGTTTCAATTTTGTGTTAATGATTTAGATTGAAAAACTTGTAAAGAAAACTAAGAATTAACGGGGTTTCTTTCTACGTTTTGGCATACCCATTCCACAAGAAAGGTTCTTTTTTTTTATTTTCACTACTACAAATAATTCATCACTTATAACTGTTTCACCTGTAGCAAATCTCTTCACAATTTCTGAAGCAGGTTCAACAAGACTAATATCAATTGGATTTTCTGACGTCACAAGTTCCAACTGCCCTCTCAAGGTGCAGGCTTTCACGCTTTCCATTGTGGACTCACGGAAACGATCATAAGCACTCTTGTTTTTATTTACTGCAGCTTCCTGAAATATATTTTTACAATTAAAATAACCAACACTTTTAATGACTCCCAACTCTTGCATCTGATTATGAAGAAATTATTTTGAATAGGTCCACTTTCTTATTAAATGAACATGTATCAAATTCTGAGTGTGTTCACAAAATTACAAAAAACATACCTGCAAGTTTGCAATGCTCAAAGGATCGTTAATGTGTTTTTCACCACCACTGCGCCAGTGATAATTTCCTGGATTTCTCAAGACAAGCATATCTGAGGTGGAGTCTGAGTAGGAGAGATAATGTCTTTCATAGGCATCTCTGGCTAAAGTTTCGAAAGTTACACCTCCAATTCGTGATTGAGTTCCCTTTTACAGTAAAAATAATCAAATAAATATTTGAAAACAACACAATCCAAACAACTTAAGAATAATCAATATTTATTTCAACTATTGTATTTACTTTAAAGCATTTTTCAACAACTTCATCTGCCAATCCAACAGCTTCAAATATTTGAGCTCCTTTGTATGACTGTAAGGTAGAAATACCCATTTTTGCCATTACTTTGGCAATTCCACGGTCCATAGCCTCTGCATAATTCTGGAGCAGAGAACACAAAAGTCAGAATTGAAATTCATCCAACTTAATATAATATATATCATTCAAATTAAGAGAAAGATAAATTCAATAAATTAATTGGTTACTTACTCTGAATAAAAGGTCATCCGTCATGCTTGCATCTACAACACCTTCATTTCGAAGTGCACGAGCCAATTCAAATACCAAGTAGGGACAGATAGCATCGGCGCCATAGCCCAACAATACACACATGTGATGGACTTCCCTGAAATAGCCATTTGAAAAAAATTAGTTTAATGATAAAACTGTTTTCTCATAGGAATTAACAATCAATAGCAAGAAAAAAATGTATCATTTAGATTGATGTCGAAGGCTTCCAGAGGCAGTCATGCAAATGATCTTGGCAGTGCAGGTGCCGCTGTGTCAAAGACTGTGATGCAAACATTTTGACCATATTTTCATGATCTTCCTGTGGAATGGGGTGAATTTAAATTGCACAATATTTACACAACCTCTTTTACACTATTTACGTTTACAAGGAGTTGCAACATTTTAACTACTACAATTGGAGTCATTGTTCAGTAAACATGAGGTGAATGGTTAAAAGTATGTGTAAAAAATTCACATGGACAAATTGATTCACATCAGTCAGCTTGTGTTGAAGTCTAAAATCACAAATGACCTATTATAATTCTGTTACATCATTAATTCTAACTAGAAAACCTGCAGTAACGTATAAAATATATATGTGAATTTTTAAGATTTTATTGCGTAACTGGCATAGTTATCTTCCTTAAGAAGTCTTTTCAAGGAAACCAGAGAAATTAAGCCTTGACATTACAATTAATAAGTTGTGATCATTAAGAGAAATTAAAAATAAATTACATTGCGTAAAGCATACAAGAAACTTCCCTTATTTTCTGCACAATACATCCCGATCATGCTGAATACCCTAGACCAAAACTGAGCATACCTTGCTTCCGCTGTTTCAAGGATCAAGCCAACTTTCATGCGCTGTCTTTCTTCAATAAGATGATGGTGTGTTGCACCTAGAGCTAGCAAAGTACTGCATGGAACCCTAAAATGAAAGTAATACATACTTAATGAATAATTTAAACCCAAATTGAAGACAGCCCAATTTTTCCCCAACACTCATCTGAAAACAACTTCTTTATATATTCTTTCAGTACATACCTATCAGGTGAAGCAAGACGATCAGAAAGAACCAACAATTGGTAGCCATTCTGTGCTGCTTTGCATGCTTCATTGCAAATTCTATCTAGGGCTGTGGCAAAGCCCTTGTATCCTTCTTCTTTGTCAAAAGTTATGTCAATAACATGGGTCTAGAGAAGAAATAAACAATAAAATTGTGTTCACAAACGGTAATTCAAAACACATTCAATTGGTAGCAAAGACTACTCTACCTTCCACCCTCTGTGAGTGGTAGCTTTGATCACTTCCACATCACTTAGAGACAAAATTGGCCGTTTTAAAAACAATCTGTGGCACTGCTTTTCAGATGGTTGGAGAAGATTTGCTTCAGGTCCAATTGGGCACATTAAAGACATAACAACCTTCTCACGGAAAGGATCAATAGGTGGATTTGTCACCTAGAAAATCACAAGTATCCCTTGTATGAAATAAATAGCTGGTGTCCCTTAGACCAACATGAATGTGCAAATCCAAGTCCCTTACCTGGGCAAAAAGCTGTTTGAAATAGTCATAGAGTAATGGCTGGAACTGGGAGAGACATGCAAGAGGTGCATCATTGCCCATGGAACCTAGAGCCTCCTTCCTAGAAAGCAAAATGCTCACATATTAAACAGTTCAATCTCACTTCAACTGTAAACTACAGATCTTTCTGAATTATACTTGCTTTGTCTGAATCATGGGTAGTAGCAACATGTTAATAGTCTCTATAGTATATGCAAAAAGAGACAAACGACGATCTCCTCCCCACATCCTTGCCAGAGTTTTGTCGTTAATACCATTGACACTTGCAACAGCAACTTTCTCTCCTTCACCAGTTCCACTCTCAAAAGGACCAAATTTCTTTATATGTTCTTTCCATAAGTCTTCAAGAAGAATCTGATAATAAAAAGGCAGTTTTCTAATAAACGTTTCCCAGGCAAACAACAGCAATTTTCTCAAATTATCCCAATTTGCTTCATTTTTTATTATTATTATTAACATTATTATTATACTTCTAAGCAAATAAAAACCACAGGCAGTAATCATTACTTTTATTAACATATTCAAACAATGCTAAATCAAACTACTGAGGTTAGTTACTAAATTAATAAATCAGAGAAATAAATTGCATGCTCAGGTTACAATTACCAAGTCCAATATGATACTGTACTATAAAAGATACAATAGAATAATAGGTAGTAGCAAATACTGTGGGAATACATTGAAGCTCAGCTTTACGTTCTACATTATTCAATCTGGCTAATATCTCCCTCTCAGTCATATCTGGACAATATTGTAATTTTATCTTTAACTTATTCAGAAATAATTAGCAAAAGATATATCATACAAAAATACAAAATTTTATTACTTAAAATTGATCAACATCTTGAAAAATATTTTTCAAGATACAACCCTCCAAATCGTGTATTTATAGAAATATATAAATTTCTCTTTAACTGAAAACAAGTGAACATTGCGCACTGCTCATAACCAGCAGATCATTAGTATTTCCTTCTATTGTGAGTATTTTGTAATTTCTTATTAGGCAAAATGTCCATACATTCAAGAAATATAATCAAATAAAAAAAGTGGGAAGATAATGCACATACAATATTAATGGGACTAGTTAAAATGAAAAAAGTCTTATAATTCATAATACAATACACTATGGTTTAATATTTTGCAGCTTAACAATGTTTTAATAAATTAAAATATTAAAGAACAAGAAAGAAACAAGTCTAATTTCCCAAATATAATGAACTACCTTCTACTAGACAATGAAAAGACTCAAGACTCCATAACTTCTATATTCTTAACAGTTCAGAGCATACCGCCAAAATAAATAAAGCATTAAATACAAAACTCTCACTGGGCAATTTATATGTGAGCAAAGCCCTTTTATATTTTTCTTGTAAGATTTATTTAATCTAGGCAGAAATTGTGAATACTGAGACAATTCTTCCAAATACTTCAAAATAGAAAGCCTTCCATCTATCTATATAAAATAATTTTCAAACTAACATTTTACCTTCAGGTTATTTTCTGTTAACAATCGGAACAATCATCTCTTCTAAATCCTGAATCTTTGTCCATAATTCGCAAAATATTACCAGTTGTAAAATAATTAGAGCAATTAATAAAAAAAACAAAATTATTTTTCCTTTCACATTTTTCATCTACTATCAAAAAATGATTATTTTGTTATACTTTCATCTCTGTATAGAGATTCAGAACAATGCTTCTCTCACAATTCTTTTTTCAGTGTAAATCATTTAACATCTGCGAATAATTGAATTTAAAAGTCAAACGAAAAATCCATAAAGGATGATCAACTATGACTAAAAGGAAAATGCCTGATAGCTAGCTACTCCTCATTTGCAGTCACCTAACCTCCCTTCCTTTTATCAATTCTCATCATTGGAGTTTACCTTTATTCTTGATTTTCCTTGTATTTTTTTATCATATTTTCCCTTTCAGATCGTTTTGCACTTCCTACACAAGAACAAATGGAGGAAATTCATTGCCACAGAAAAGCTACGAGTTTCCGGAGAAACATAAGAAAACAAACCATGCGACTATTTTACTTAAAAAGACATCTTGGAAATATTTTCAAATCTACAAGGAATTAGAAACACACAAAACAAGAAGTACAACGTTCTTCGTGAGACTCACCGCCTAGTGAAACCCGTGTCCGGAACATGGCAAAGGAAGAAAAGAAAACAAATAATGAGATACAAATTAACAATTGCACACTAATAAACACACAATTTCCCTGGAATAATGAATGAAGTAAAGTTATTTGTGAATTGCTCACATAAATTAACTTAAAAGGTGTTCAAACGATTATCGCTGTCGCCCAAAGGAGGAGAAAATAAATCTTCTTAAAACTTTCATGTCAATTCAAAGATTTTTTTTTATCCTTTTTCAAAACCACTCACACGGAAACTATAAACCACTTGAAAAGCAATTATATGATAATTATTTTGTCAGAATTCACAACACAGTCTATAATACTCTAAAAGCATAATAAATAGGCATTTAGAATTGCACATGCTACATTTTCAATTAATAAGCAAAAATTATGATAGTGGTTGGGATGCTAATTGTTCAGTGTGCTGAAATAATTATCAGGAGCCTTTCCAATTCCTTGTTGCTCTTCTTCACACAATATTAGAATTTAATGAACAAACAAATTATTAATCATTAATAAAATGAAACTTATGATTAATAACAAATAGACTTAAAAAAATTAACAATGGTTGCCCAACCTGACTAAAGTAAATGACTGCAAAACCATTGTTCCATAAAATAATATAGAAAATGCCCTGGTAATGAGGGAAACGGTCACATCAAGTCAAATTTTATGATCATAATACAATTCTTTCTTGAAATAAATTAATCAATTTATCTCCTACATGTACTTCTACAAAAAAATAAGTGCTGCTTGAAAAGTATGATTTTTTAACAAAAAGAAATTTGTTCTAAAATGCAGTTTCAGTCAAAATTTTGGTTTCACTTTAACATTTTGATTAAAAATGGTGAGTAAAAGAGATTGGGAATCTTGAGTCTTCTGAAATAAATTTTAAGACGAGTTCCTGTTACATTTTTCCTAACTGCAGCTGAGGTTTTAATAATAATCAATTTTCTGTACGCATTTTCATTTTCAAAGGTTAAATTTATGTTCAGGAGTAATTTTCAAAATCATTGTTGATGTAATTGGCTCTTTTTAATAAATTTCAATACTTGACTTCAAAATAAGCTATGTTTCTTGGTGTAGCATGTAGCTTTGTCTTTTCCAACACCACAACACAAACTAGGCTAACAAAGTCTTCAAATGGTTCTAAAAAATCATAGATATACAAACATATAAAAAACACCAACCCATTAAGAAAAAATAGTACTTTGTACTTGACAAAATTTGAAATATTATGTATACTTTCTTTCACAATTTCAGTAAGTAAATATCACTTTCATTCATTCAAACTGAAGTTTAAGGACAGCAATACTCTAGCTCTGAAGTTAAAAGGGTTCTTTTACACTTTTAAAACTTGTGTTGCCTACATTGAATTTATACGAGTTAAAAAATCAACAAAAGTTAAAGAAAATCAGATTCATGGAGAAGAATTCATACGTTGAAGTGAGGGGGCAGGAGTGTTAATTCAATTGTGAAGCTTATTACTTTTGTGCTTAAGTAGTGCATTATTTTTCATATAGTAAAATTTAAATTACAACAATTGGAAACACAAATTAAGTAATAAATTAAACAGGATATTAAATCTTTAAGTATTTCATTTGCTTGGTGGGGAGGGGGGCGGGAGAAGAAAAAAAGATTTATCAAGTGAAAATTTTAACACGTTGCAACAGTTCCATATTCATTTGTTACAAATTAATATACGTTTGCAGTAGACCTTAGTTTGATTAGTAGGACTCTTCAATTTCTGATTTCAGTTGTTCACCTCCAGGAAATGTTAGAATGAAATTCACATGTAAAATGTAAGTTTATTTGCACACCCAAATAGTACAGACATACACTTGCACATCTACTTCACATAATTCCTAAAAGTTCAAATCAAGATATGCACCACAGAAGTGACCAATACCTACTGACTATAGAAGATATTCTTAGATCTTTATTACTTTTCATTATTATTATTATTATTATTTCCATTCAGCCAAATTACATGAACTGGCATTGTCAATATCAATTTTCACAAAATATTACAAGACATCAGAAAAATTGTATGATATAGAAAAATTGATTGTAAGATTTTCAAATCATGCACTTGGAAAATACTGAATAATTGAATTCCTTGCAAATATTGTCATGAATACTTACTTGCTCCTTCAACCACGATGAATGAGGCCGACTGTTAGAAATATGCATCTTCAACTCCACATCTTGGATAATTTTCTTCTCTTGAGTGTCAACAAGCAGCATACGACCAGGTTTCAGACGGCTCTGGGCACACCAAACACACACTGTATAATCCACGTCACACAAGTATATCTTCACCACAAGGGTTCCAGTGGCCCCTTCGCAGTCCACTCGAGTGAGCCCCACCAGGTGAAAACACAAACTTGAAACACTATTAATCTGTTTTTGTCCACAAAGAAGGTTTGTAATAAGGGAAAGAAGAAACAAGTTAATGATGAACATTCTTCATTTCTAGACTAATAAAAAAGAAGTTTATGTCATGGACAAAATCAGCTTAATATTGCTCTAATCCAAAAAGAAAAGAAATTAATGCTGTAAATGAAGCACAGGGATAAGTTCAGGAAAAGTTTGATTACAATGCAAAAAAAAGAAGAAGAAAGTTTTATGTAATAATGACTAGCAAATTAAGTTCTTCAGGGAATAAATACACAAATATTAAAATATCTAATCTTCCATCCATCTGTTTAAACCAATGTAATTGAAAATAAATAAAAACAGGCTAAAACAAAATTTAACTTCACCAGTGAGGCACACATCAGCAGGACATTCACTGGAACAAACCACTTGCTTGACAATTCTTCCACTATCATAATGATTATTTTATTACACTTTCATTGCATCACATAAAGTCTCAACTATAAAAGTGAATGCAATTGAATAATGATTCAAGAAATGACAAATCATTTTATTAATCAAAAGAAGAAGAAATGTTGGGCAAATGGTCATCATACAAGGAAACAAACAAAATGAAATTTTACATAAGTCAGAAAAATCTATCAATTTTCTATTCACTCTAGAATATATAAAAACATTCAAACACAAAAAATTCAAGACACTTCATTTGTGTTACGAAACACACTTGAGAGGATCAACACAAAACGTTTATGGCAAAGTCTTCGAACAGGTCTTCAAATTAATTCACACCTAATGAACACCTAGAGGATGCGGCAGTGTTGCACTGGGACAGCAAGCAACATCTTCTAGACACCGGAAAGCCTTAACTGCATGCCTGCAGTCTAACTAGACAACGAATACCCAAATAGCTGAAATGTTTATTTCAATCAATAATCCTGAATTGGCAAAAGACATTATTCCATGTGGTGCCTAGTCTGCCATTTCCTTGCTGTATCAGTACCCCATTAACAACTACCAGATTGGTTGAGTCTAGGAGCCACCACGGGTCCAAACCAATCACTGAAAATTCTACAAACAAAAGCCTTTGGTTCTGTGGTATAATATAAAAACCTTGAGGAGGACATTCGCAGGATCTGTGTCGTAGACTCCGACCTCAGAAGCCATCACCATGATATTGTCCTTCAGAACGTAGAACCGAGAAGGACGCAGACCATTCCTAGGTGAAGTAAGGAAGACTGAAATTAGAAAGGCTAAATGGATGCTAAATGATACATCAGATCCTACAGTTATCCAACATTATGATTATAAGCATTATTATAAGAGATATCATGCATGCAAGTATTTTAACTAATAACTTTGTTCGGGCAAAGTTTTGAAAAACGATAGAATTTTCAGGCCACTTTACATTCTAAAACCTTTTAATGAACTAACAGAGGAAAAAGACAGAATAATTTTAATACATGTCAAGTAAAGAAAAAGTAACTTAACAACTGATCAAGAAGGATCCCTAAGTATTCCTCCCTCCACAGTTTTACCTTTCCTTCCACACAAGGAACATGGCAGGCTGCAGTCAGCACTCGAGCAGATACTGTTGTGATCTCTTCTATTTTGTCCTAGGCATTTGTGAGAGAGAGGAACACTAGGGTCCTAGTTGTAATTTACTGATTTCAGAAAACAAAATTTGTTAACTCAAATTTCCACAAATTATTTTTACAATATTCTATTAGTACAAGTACATTTGACAATTGACTTAGAAATAACAATAATAATAAATAACAATTATAACAACAATTTACACAATAATAAAGACTTTTTTATTTTTTTTATAAATTTTCCTAATAGATTTCACAGTTCTAAATGCACTTTAATATGAAACACTAATGTCCACGTCATCTCGTGAACAATAAACACTGCATTACTTAATTATTCTTCTTTGTGAGATGTCCTTACATAGAAAAATCTTAGAGCCTACAGAAATGAATTCTTAAATCAGGAAGTCCATAATGTCAATAGCAATGATGAACAAATGTTAGTTCACAATTATCAAACATGAAGCTATTGTTAAAATTATTTATCCTTTTCTCTGTTAGGAAAATCTTCAAAAAAATTTTGTTTTTCAATTTGCCCAAACCCATGAATAGTATTTCATTATATTTCTATCCCCAAATGACTGCAAATGTTGAATACTACCTGTCCAAAATTGCGCCTACATATCTGCCATCTGTGAAAGTGAGTAAGGCAGGGCCATCCCATGGCTCCATTGCACACGCAGACCAGTGGTAGAAATCGCGCTTCTCAGGGGGCATGGTAATGTCATTCTGCCATGCCTCTGGCACCATAGTCATCACCGCCTGTGGGGGTGTACACAAATTAGTGTAAATAGCTATACAGTCTACGAAAACTCAAACACAATTAATTACCAACCCCATTTAATATAAAATTAAGGCAATACCATGTACCTTACAATAAATTTGAATATTTAACTCTATAAGACAGAGAGAGTGAGTGGGGTGACAAAAAATATATTTTGCTTGCCTCTGGCAGGGTTCGGCCTCCAGCCATGGTCAAAAACTCAAGCACACAATCGACTGCTCCAGAATCAGACAGATTAGGCTCCACAACAGGATAAAGTTTCTTCAATTCATCACCAAATTCATCATTTTTCATCACTCCTTCACGTGCCTTCATGAGGTTTACATTTCCTCGCAATGTATTAATTTCTCCATTATGGGCCAGATATCTGAACAGTCACACAAATAAATAAGCTAAATACAACTGGGCAAGGTAATTATATTAACAAAAAATATTCTACAATTTTTACTACTTACGTAGTTTAATTTAGCATCTGTATAATTAAACAACTAGTGCAAAATTCAGGTTTTGCAATATTTTTCATAAAGGTTACTACTAAAAATTTTGACTTTCATAAATACCTCAGAGGATGAGCTCTCTCCCAACTGGGGAAAGTGTTGGTAGAAAACCGCGTATGAACCAGAGCTAGGTATGTGTCGTAGTTAGGTGACTAGAAGAATAAATCAAATCTTGAAGCACATGTAATGAGAATGTATTGCCATGACTTAATATTTCTTTAAACTCACCCTCAGATCTGGGAAGTATGTCCACAGTTGGTCTGCTGTGAGCTGCCCTTTGTATATAACAGTGAGTAGTGACAGGGAGCAGATGTAGAAACGGGCTCCAGGTCGTGGGATAGTATGGGTGGCACGTTTACGCAGCACAAACACCTGCAGAATTACAAATATCATATAAATAATTATTCCCAACAAGTATCCTACCAGAAAAAAAAATTGCTTATAATGAAACTAAATAGTTTCATAAATTGATTAATTGATTGTTAGCGATACCGGGCGTGTCAACAGCTAATAGTCCCGAAAGTGTAGCACAAGTTTTTCCTCATGAGATGGTGATGGTCTTCCCCGCTAGATGGCGAGATGCGGTGCCCACCTACTACCCGCTAGCGGGGTTTTCCCTAACCAGGTATGTTCCACCAACGGGGCACCGCCCAAGTCGGGACAAGCTCTAAGCTCCCGACCAGACTCCCCGCACGTTTGCTAGGTATACGGGGAGAGGATAGGGCAAAGAAGAGGTAGGAAAGATCAAACGCGGTCCGTGGACCGTTTGTTAGGGTATTGCTCCAGCATTAGTCTGGTATTAATAGGAATAACCACGGAAAACTACTGATCAGAGCAGACGGCCGCTAGGATTCTCCTCTAGACAGCAGCAGACTGAATTCGACCTCACTGACAAGTTAGTGTCGAAAATCCTTCCACCGTTGGGACTCGAACCTAGGATCTCCCGGTCAGAGGTACTGCTGATACCTTGAGCCACCTCTCTTGGAGTTTCATGAATCAAAACATCTCTTCTCTATATTACTCATTTTCAACGCGTAAAAAAACTGAAAGAAAATTATGCAGCCTATGGCTATATGAGAGATATTGGTATGGTTTCATTAGATTCTCGTAAACTTGGGAAATAAACAAAAAAATTGAAACACTTGATTTTTGTTTTAAAAAGGTAAATGTTTGATTGTGAAATTCTACATATCCTCATGCGGCGCATGACAACTAAATTATTTCACTACATGCATCACTACTAACAATTCAGCTAAGTTGTATGCCATCAAGGTTCCAAGGAAGAGGCTGATTGACATTAAATCAGCCCTATTCACATTTTATGGAATATCATTTTGGTTATTCTTGGTTTATAAAGAAATGTTGAACAATATAAATATACTATACTATATTTTTGCAGTATTTGTAAAGACTGTTGTTAAAATATTTATTTATTGCAGTGTTAAAGAAAGCATTTTATTTGATCTTGAGCATACGCATGCTATGATTTGAACAAGCTTTGTGAACTTTTGATCTTACCGTACATTGAAACCGTACGTTGCAAATGACATTGCCATATAATTCGAGTATGTGTGTGTGTGTGTGTGGGTGCGTGTGTGCGTGCGTGCGTGCGTGCGTGCGTGCGTGCGCGCGCGCGAGAGAGAGAGAGAGAGAGAGAGAGAATGTGTGTGCGTGCGCGCGCGAGAGAGAGAGAGAGAGAGAGCATGTGTGCGTGTGTGACTATGCGTGTGCGTGTGTGAGTATGTGTGTGTGTGTGCGTGTGAGTGAGAGTATGTGTGTGTGTGTGCGTGTGAGTGAGAGTATGTGTGCGTGTGTGCGTGTGAGTGAGAGAGAACACACACAGCATACCTTCGAGCAATCACGAGCTAGTGCTAGAGTCAGCTGCGAGTGAACAACAGCACATAAAGACTTCAACCACCCGCACGCACAACTCAACAGCACACACAATACCATCACACAACACATACCTCACACACAACATACTCACCACAGTCACAGTTTACTTCACACGAACTAGCCAGTGTGAGCATCACACACACACAGACAGCAGCCCCGAAGCACATGGCCACCCACACTGATGTGCCTGATCGCAACGCGCAGCAACATGTACACACAACAGAGACAGAAGAAGCATGATAGCCCAGACGATTGAGCGTGGTCGTGCGATACGACGCCAGTCGCGTCAGCGATGTATGCAGTCGAAGCGTGTTGATGGAGCGTGAGCGACACCACACTATATACGTTTCATCGCGATGAGCGCGAGTGATTTAGCACACTCATAGAGCACGTGACGCGATGCCCACACATTACGCACACACACACACTATGACTCACACCACACACACATCAACCACAAGCACCCACGATATCGCCACCACACACACCACTGATGCGTACCGCAGATGTAGGCGTGAGAGTGTGTCGCCTTGAGACAGTGATCGCAGCTGGAGCAGCTCCGACAACGACCGCCAATCTGTGCGTAAGCAGCTGTCCACACGAAACGATAGCTCCGTGAACGCAGCTGAAAGACGCTGATAAGTGCACCGCTGCAAGCGCCTGTCCCGGATGGCCTATGAGCATTGACAGCCGTGTCCCGTCCGACCAGCTGAGGCCAGTGTGTGCAAGCTGAGACCCGCTAGCAGCGTCGTAGCCGCAGTAGACGCACCACTAGCTGCCGGACTGATGCGTCCAAGAGCTGTCACAATACCAACCATCGCCCAGTTGAGCGCTGTAGCGCGTGCTGCGTGAGAGTGCTAGTGATAGTGTAGCTTGTCAATAAGCAGCAGCCGAACCTATGTGTCGTGTCGACTACATGCGAGCTATGATCGGCAGCCACAAACACGATGCCGGCGAGCACAGAGACATCAATGTGTGTAGTTGTCACTAGTAGAACATTGAGACTCACACCACTCACGTATACTGCCACACACCACACATACTCAGTACGACACAGCCAGTCTGACCGAGGCGACCTCATACTTCGATCAGCTCAGCGAATTACCCACCACGGGCACACATACTCACACGGCTACACATAACTTCACACGCACAGCATAACTCACCACGCTACTCGTGATGTGTCACGCACGGACTATGTTTCTGCATGTGCTACGGCACACATACTCACACGCACCATATCTACACGCACACATACTCACACCACACATACTCAGCACGCACACATACTCACACACACACATACTCACACACACACATACTCTTCACACACACATTACTTCTCACACACACACAACCTCACACACACAATTACTCTCACACACACCAACATACTCTCACAACACCACATACTCACACACAACATACCACACACACACATACTCGTCACAACAACACCATACGTCCTCACTGAACCTGAACACCACTGTGCGCGCCGATGACTGATGTGTTTGCGCGCCGGACGTATGCTGTCGCGCGTCGTACAATCGTTTTCGTCTGCAGCGACTATACAGTGTTGCACGCGCACTTATTCACACACACCAAGCATCATACTCTCAGCACACGAGCGAGCACACATACTCTCACACACACACATACGTCTCCCACAACATCAACTCTCACACGAGCGAGCGAGCGAGTATCGTGCGCTTCACCACCACATACCGTCACACAGCACACATAGCTACCCATCACATCACACATGAGCTGTCTCACACAGCACCGCACTCGTCGACACCAACATCAGTGCATACTTGCGCCGAGCACGCACAGACACATCTATTTTCGTGCTCTGCACAGCCACACCATATGTGTCGATCGTCGCGAGACATATGTGTGGGCGCGCGCGCTATGTGTCGCGCGCGAACTATGTGTGGCGCGCGAACTATGTCGTGCCGCGCGACTATGTGTGAGCGCCGCGACTATAAGTGTTGCGCCGCACTATGTGTAGCGCCCGCAGGACCTATGTGTAGCGCCGACTATGTGTGAAAAGGCAGCGGACTATGTGCTCAGCGCGCGCACTATGTGCGATGCGCGCCAGACTATGTGTGCGCGCGAACTATGCAGCATACTCACGACCATACTCACTGTATGCCGCGCAGGGGACTACTAGTGTGCGCCTCAGCAGAGCATTCATGATCGTGCGAGCACGACCGGAACCTATACAGTCCCAATGCACCACACAGTCACCAATCGCGCGCGGACTATGTGTGCGCCGGACTATGAGCGAGTGACGCACGTGATCCTAATGTCGTGCCGCAAGCCAGACACCTAATGTGCGAGCGCAACACACACAGTCACCCAACACACACAGTCACCAACACACACAGTTCACCAACACACACAGTCACTCAACACACCACCCACACCCAACCACCACCAGTCAACCCAACAACAGACAAAAAAACAAACTACACAACAAGAAAAATCCAAACACACATAGTCCACCAAACACACATAGTCACCAACACCACATAGTCACCAACACACATTGAGTTCGAGCGGAACAGCACCATACTTCAATGGCGCGAACACACATCTGCGCAGCAAACACACGACGATATTCACCATGAGCACTAGTCATAGTCACCAACGACCAGCGCGCTGAGGTCCACTCAACACTAGTCGATTAGTCGACCACGCACGCGAAGTCCACCAACACAACAATAGTCACCAAGCATCACATGAGTTACACCAACACTACAGCATGGCCACCAACACACGATACGTCACTATGCCTAGCGATCGAGCGACTAGCTGCGACACATATAACTACGAGCTGATTATCGACCAAGCGAGCGCAACATTAGTTGCGACCTGAGGCCAGCACACAGTGCCAACGCCACGATAAGCCACCTCAAGCACAGCATGAAGTCACCCAACACAGCCATCTAGAGTGCTGCTGCGCCACACATCAAGCTCGCCAGCTGCACATCGATTTGAGTGGCGCTGCCGCGACCCTATGATGTCATCGAGCGTCGGCGAACTATGCGCGGTCGCGCGGACCTCAGCGAGCTATAGTTCGCGGCGCGGGACCTATGCCACAATAGTTCGCGGCGCACACCTGACGTGCGTCGCCGCGCAACCTACACAATTAGTTCGCGCCGTGTCACACATGCAGGTCGCGCGCGCACACAGTATAGCTCTGCGCGCGTACACATAGTCGCGCGCGCACGCAAAGTACAGTGATCGTCGCGCTACGTGACCAGCGCGTATAGTCTATGCTGCGCGCACACTAGTCGCGCGCACACATAGTCGCTGCGGCAGCAGCCTCGATCGCCGGCGCACCACATGAGTCACTGTGCGGTCGCGCTCGCGACTATGTGTGCCGCGCGACTATGTGTGGCGCGCCGACTATGTGTCGGCGCCGGCGACTATAGTGTGCGCGCGACTATGTGTGCCGCCGCGAACTAGTG